TGTTAGGAATGTTTTTTTTTTCATTGAGTTTCAGATTGTGAACTGACATGTACAGCCAATGGAAAGGCCATTGGAGGCTAAGTCAGTTGGCTCTACGAGAGCCAGGCAGTTACTCAGAGGCTGCCCAAAGGTGAGTGCTCATAACAGGGCAGGCCAAGCAGAAGGAAGGGTGAAATCATGCTCTGCAACCACTTCCTCCCAAGCCCAGCTGGGACACATGACGGCAATACATCAGCTTCCTCTGAGATAAATGGCACGATCAGTGGTCAGTAATAACCTGCTAGATGGGACATTAAAGAATTAAAAAGGAGGCAGATTTCAATCACAATAATGGGACATCTCTGAGATGCTTCTAATTCATCTTCAAGCACTGGTGTTCTATTGCTAGATTAAAAACAAAACAGCAGGGGCCACGTGTTCAAGTGATGAATAAGCACGAGCTTCTTGAAACCACGGCAATGTTAAAGATGAACCAATGGCAGCGGCTTGAAACTGACCACAAAGCTAAAGGGGATGCTGATGATAGAAAATACAATTATCAATCTCTTTCTGGACCACAGCAAAGGAAGCTAAAGAGTACAATGATTTCATTCCTTACTCTCAGCCCCACTCTGAGGTCTAGACACACAAAGCAGCTCTTACCTGGTGACACAGTTAAGCCACATAGTGCAATGGTGAACTACTTCCTCCTTGGTTGCTCTGAAAGGATGAAGTGCAGCTTGGGTGCAGAGGTCCCTATTACCCTTTGCGAAGGGTGCACCCTTATGAGGAACAAAGGCTATGGGGTTCATCCCCCCAAGATTCCCATGGCATATCTCTGTATTCCTTCCTCTTTTATTTCTTCTCCCAGCCACTGCTGAGATCTCTAGAGTACCTGCCTCCCTTTCTTCTCTAACTCAAATAAGACTGTCACTGAGATAACCCCCAGGCTTCTTCAATTATTTTGTCAACCAGACCAAGCCCTACAAAGGGGACTCTGCACCTCCCAGTGGCACACTCTCTGGGCCCAGCCCAAGCACAAATGAGGGCTTTTCCTGTATATACTCATGTATTCACCTCAGTCCCCACTCTGCTAATGGGGATGTATCCACTCAGCCCAGATGGCCGTCCAGGAGGCCTCTGCCTTACCCAGCAGCAGAGCAAAAACGTCCTCCATGCACCTAGCATAGGATCCAATCACAAACTTGCTGGCATGCCATAATTTATCTAGAGATTTTGAGAGAAATACTGTCTGTGAAGGGCTGCCTGCAGTGCAATCTCTGAGCCTCCACGCCATTCTCAAGGTATGATGAAAGTCATCCTCGGATGGACAAGCCTGCCAGCATAATACCCACAGGGAATGCTGTTTCCTTCTGAACAAACTTTTAAATATTGGAAATGAAGATGACAGCAACGTGTCCTTGTCCTTCAGTACTTAACATGTACTGAAATATAACCCCCCCTCAGCCTTCCCAACAGTCTGTAGCTGGTTACATGAGGACTTATCTATGACTCCATTTTATCAGATGAGAAAACTGAGGCACAGATAGGTTAAATAACTTGCCTAAAATAATGGCATAGCAGAGTTTTGAACTTAGGTTTTGAACTTTGACTTATGCCCTTGGTTGTCACTGAGCGGCTAACATGGTATTTACTATAAAGTTGTTGCTGAACATGAAGCAGTTTAGGTACCAACTATACTTTTTTGCTTTACCTTACTTTTTTTCCCCCTCTGTGTAGTTTACTTCTGAACCAGATTACATTGCAAAAACACATACTTCTGAAGGTAAACAAAATATTTAGAGACTAAGAGTAGAATATAATAAATAAATGACTGGACATATTAATTACAACATAATAATGATTTAGAATCTATTTTTTTTAGAATCTATTATTTTTCATGTGACCACACAGAACAGCACCTTATAATAGACTCGTAATGTGGGTCACATTATTAAAATTTTCTAGTAACCACATGCTGAGATGCAGTTAAACTAATTTTAATAGTAGATGTATCTACAACTCCAAATTAAAAGTATTTTAAAATACAATTAATATTGTAAATACTAAGATGTTTATCATTCCTTTTTCCCACTAAGTTTTTGAAGGAGGTTGCATTTTCCGCTATTCTCACCACAGACCAGCTCCGTAACCACAGCTGACAGTGGCAGCCATAGTAGATGGAGCACAGAGAGATGGATACCAAGTTAGATGCCGTGCGCACTTAACATTTGGAAGTCAAGGTGACACACGTAAGGCAAGCCTGGACTGCATCTTCTTTTCATTGTCCATCAGTGTTCACCGCTCTAAAGCTGAGGATGGGCTGCGGCTGTTCCTACAGTGCAGGTGTGTACCTCTAAGGGTTAACAAGCTCTGCTAAGCGAAGCTGCTTCTGCATGCTCTCTCCTATGGTGTTTGTGCAAATCAGAATGTTTCCTGTGCACACTAAATCATGTTTCTTCTCTGGGATTATTTATTATGATCGTTATCCTCATCTATTTTCTCTGTGTGTCTCCCGCTGCTCATGTATCTGAGTTATTATGTCCTCACAAGGAACACAGCAGAGTAAACTCTGTGGGTAAGAAAAAGTGACAGCCCAGACTAAATTTACCGAAAGTCTTACTCTTTCAAGTCTAATGGTGCAGGTTGGAACTGACTGACGACCTCAACAGACTCTAAGGACCTCATGGGAAGGACACAACGCTGAAGTGATGAGATTCTTAGCTCTCTCTGAGGTTCTTCTGCTGCCTTCTCTGAGAAGGCTGCATGGGGTAGCGTCCAACCCCCACTGTTCCTTGTGATTGCCCTGGGGTGCTTCCTGCAGCCTCTGATCTCTCTGACCCCAGCCTGTGTGGCCCTATGGGACCAACTGCATGAAGCTCCTACAAGGTGGTAATTCTGTTCTTCAGGGAAGGTGCTTTTGGAGGCACTGGGTCCATTACCAACCTGTACAGGAGAATGGAAGCTGATCTGCTTAGCGTTACCAGTATCTCTTGCAGCTCAAAATTGGTTTTCGTGAAACAGGAAAGTTCTCTCTTCTCCTGTTTTTCTATTTCAATTATATAAGCTCTTTTTCTATCCTACCAAAATTCTACTATAGTTACTAACAATTCTAAAATTACAATTCTAGTTGAAAACTATTTTGTGGTGTTGGTAGAATTATTTGTCCAGTGATGAGGTGGGACAGGAACTAATGTTTTACAAAGACAGAGCAGAAGAGACAGCTGAGCTAGCAGTCCAGGTGTGGCTCAAAATGGCCCCAACTGTGGTAACCAGAGTACAGGTGACACCACCTCCAACTCACTGTGCTCTCTGCTCTAGTACAGTCAGCACCCACCAACACCAACTAGGCAAACTTGATTTCCACCCCGACATCAGTCAAGCGCTCTCCCTTCTGAGAATATCTGTGCTGAAGCTTTTCTTGGGTGAAGCCTTGAAGTAAAGAGGACAAGACTGTGTTCCTGGAAGATCAAAAGGGGGACAGTGTTGTCTCCCAGGCGGAGTTTGCCCACTGTGGCTTTGCTCAGCTCCTGCTCTTCTGGAAGTGGCTTATTTCCCTCCCCCCCAGTATGGTCAATAATTTTTAGTTTGAAGGTACAAAATATATTTTTTTGCTCCTTCCTTTAAAAACACACAGATTTAAATTGCTCAAATTGCTAGTAGTCTCACATGTATTTAACTTTCTTGAGATTACCTCCAAATATGGAGAGCATTCTACTCTTTTAGCCATTGTAGAACATAAGTGAAAACCAGACTAGCAAAACTCATTAAATTTGAAATTCTCTCTCCTCGTTCCCAAGACAATGAAACAGCAGGGCACAACCTATGAAGTGGGCAAGTGATCCCCAAGTGATTTTATAGTCTTAGGGCTTGTGTTTCTTTCCTACTCTATGACATCAAGAGAACACTAAGAGTTAACATCATCCCCCAATTTTGTAAAGCTGTGTAGTCACTATTAGATGTGTTGGCAACCAGGGTTGGCAAACTGTGTTGAAGAGGCATCTTGATAGTAGGCACACACCCCATCTTGGTCCTCATTGACTTCTGTATAATTTGGGGAAAATGAACCAAATTTGATGAAGGTGCAACTCTTCATCAAGAAAGGATGGCAATACTAGCTGTCTTCCCAATCTTATTAAAAGGATTAAATGACGTCGGTAAATGTTAGGCCCTTATTAGTTAATAACAGCAAGCTGTCATCATTAATATTATTTTTGAATACCACTTATGAACTTAATACTTAGAAAACATTTACAATGCTTCATATGTACTCTTATTTAATGTTCACACTAGCCTTGTGAGAACCATTATCACACTCATTTCATAAGAGAAAGTGCAGAGGCAGAGATGACTGAACAACTTGCCCAGGATTTAAAAGCAGGAACTAGGAGAACTGAGAGTCAATCCAACACATATGGGCTTCAGAGCTCTATGATTTGTTGTCTCCCTACATAAATCTACATTATATTATATAACCTCAGAGTAGACCAGGGAAAACTTGACAACATCCTATTCAAAACTTAGTTCTCTATAAAAATCTTTACTGAAATGTAAGTACAGACAATAATGCTTCAAGTCGACTAAACAGCAGAGGCCAGCAAGAGATGGTGGTCATTCTTACATGCATATATAATTCCAACCTGGTGCCAAGTGCAAAATTAATGTATTAGATGAGGATGTGGAAAGAGGGATGGCATTAATATTGTGACTAGCCAGACCAACTGAACAAAACAAAAACCACCAACCAACAAACCCAATAAAAAATAACAGACCTGAAATATGTCTAATCCACAGATGCATTTAGATAAATATTTAATGAAATTGTTCATGTGACTGCAATTTGGCAGTTAACCACTAATGGATGTATCCAAAGCTGTAACTAAAGAGAGCCATAAACTAATAGTTCAATTTTTGGGGGGATCACTTGGGTTTAGAAACACTGACCACTGACCTTGGTTAACAGTAAAAGGGGCAGAGTTACCTAAAGAAAGAAATGTATAACCTTAATTACCCACCCTTACCTGCTACCTGCAGAAAACCTACTGGTTTCCTTTTCTTTTTCTTTCCATTTCTTCCCCTTATTGGGATTCCTTCGCAAAGGTGCCCTACAATAACACGGCATGGTCAGAAAGAGAAAAGTAACATCAATCTTTTAATCTTCCCTTATGGAGAACTACTTTCTCAGAAGGAGGTGCTTACCCCAGATCCACAAACTTCTGCTTAATTTTTCCTCCTTGTACCACAAATGAACTGGGTGCTCTTGGTGATTTCGGACAATTGGCATCATCTAGCATACAGACACATAGGGAAAAGATTAGTTAGCATTATATTTTAAGCCATGAATCCAATGCCAGTGTATCTGTGAACCTAAGGGCTTTGCATGAGTTATTCAATGTACAAGAACACAATGGCTGTCCTGTCTACAGGACATAAAAACTCAGCATAATGGGGAGCATTACACTGAACTGGAAAGTTTTACAGCACAGACACGTGGGGATGAATGAAATGAGCAAGAATAAATACTTTCACTTCAAAGCAGGTGTGATGGTGACTTTGCCTGGCTCTGGCTCTAATGGAGGCATTGAAGGTCTATGTTCCTTCTTCCACAGCCTTCTTGGTTTTGGGTTTTCCTGCCTTCTGAAGAAACCCTGCTGAATCTCAACTCAGGATAGAAAGCATCACCTCTTAAGGTCTGGGAGCTTCAGAAAGCAACTAAGGATAAAAAATTTCCCTTCTGGGGGCTTGAAAGATGGCTTAGCAGTTAAGAGTACTGTCTGCTCTTACTAAGGACTTTAGTGAAAGTCCCAGCACCCACCTGACAGCTTACAACTGTCTGTAACTCCAGATCCAGAGGACCCAACATCCATGGCAAAACACCAATGAACATATTTTTTTTTAAATACTCTTCTGAGCTCTTCCATACTAGTGGTCCATAGCTAGTTCTGGGACAGGGTAAGGCAGAGTGTGGGGGAACCTACTTAAGCAGAAGCCAAATGTATCAATGAAAAGCTCTTTAGAGCACAACTGTCTGGCCTACAATGACACAGAAGATGCCCAAATCTTCCAAGGGCTTGGAGCTGACTGAGTTGCACTTCCACGAATGATTTGGACACTAATTAGCATTGTAGCAGCAACGTGGAATAGGACACTAGAAATGCTGTCCATCAGAAGAAAGACTTTGAGAATGGGGTTCAGTGTGAATGTAGGGCCATGTTCTAACAATGGCATGTATCCCACCTTTGACAAGGCAGATGAAACACTGCAGCAAAGAGTGTTGAGTGCCACATTTCAGCACATTCAGTCAGCTGGGATGACTGACAGATTGCATTTTAAATTCCATGTGCTTGTATGAGCAAAACTCCCTTCTTAATTGCCAGTGTCTGCGCCTAGCTTAAATTTTTTTTTTTAATGTCTAGGGATTCTCACATGGAATGTAAGGAAAATGGACATTAAGACAGTGTTCAATTAACCTTAAAAGTTAATTTTGTTTATAATTTTTGTTTACCTCAAGACAAATTTCTAAACAGACACCAGCACACATAGTCCCTGTTCCCCAGGGCAGCTCCAAAGCATTTACAGCAGTGCAGCCCATGGGCAGACACACCAAGGATTCCTAGCTGGGAGCTCTTCACATTGTTAGTTAATGGCTCTCAGCAGATTACAGTAATTCTTTGAAATGGACATGATGAAATACAAGAATCAGATAGATGCCTGTGTCAAAAATCCACTTCTTGCTCCGAAGGTTTAGTATGAGTATTTGCATCATTATTCTTTCAGTAACCGGTTTAAACAGCCACAGATGTGACACAATCCATTAAAAAAATGGCTACCTTCTAAGGTGATTTTGCTAATGGATACTTAAAAAAGGGGCAGGTTTTCAATTTTCTTAATAGAAGCCAAAGAAACAAATGAGATGAATTCTTCCATATCAATCCTAAAGAACCCCTAAGAGCCAGGCCAGTGCAAAGTTAAAAGGAGCCTGCATAATTATTTTCTGAATCAGGGGCAGCTGGAAGATGTTTTAATGAGTGGTACGATGAACAGCTGAGACAATGTTCATGAAGACTTTCTATAACCCGTTAGGGTTGTAGTTATTTGGACAGCTTAGGACTAAAAGCCCTAATTCTGCCCATCACGGAGCTTGCTGCTAGGCAACCTCACATCATTATCTCACACATTTGCCAAAGTGTGTTTCAAGGAACACTGAAATGAAGAGGCGAGATTAAAGAATAGTGCCCCTTACCATTTAAATCATTTAGATTAATTTTTAATATATGTCAGAGCTTTAGAACAGCAAAAAAAAAAAACAAAAAAACAAAAAAACAACATGGGGTTGGTACGAGCTGAAGAAAGGCATGTATTACATTTCTTCATATTTATTTACTTAGTGTTATGTAAGATGTCCATTAGGTTTTAGAAACTGCCCCATTACGACTTTTGTGATCCACCAGAAGATCAGGCATGCAGACCAAGCACTTCAACTTTAAGCTTCAGCAACTTGGCTATTGTTTCCCAAACAAATACATGGTCTCTAAATCCCAAAGTTCCTCCTGATGACATCTGCTCAATGAAACACTTGAATGTCCCTTCTTTTATGATGAGACTGTCCAGATCCACTTCCTGACCTGGTTTATCTCCTGAACTCTGAACTATTCCTCTATTTAAAAAGAAATGAATAGTATTCCCCACGCAGTGTCTCTGATTTCTTATTTTCTGATAGGGATAAAACATGTGTCCTGAGGGGTTTGGGAGAGTTATTCTTAAAAGACCCGATTTCTCAGTTCCTACATGAGCACATGTTAGTAGTTTCTAATTTGCTTTACCTTCACATTATTCTCTTTTTTGGGTTAGATATTATTTTTAAATAGTGAAATTATTTCGTTCTGAAAAATATCTAGAGATAAATGATCAGAGGCTAAACTCTCTGTTTGCAGATGTAATGGTCACCATGGAGCCTGGGGCATTCTGTGTATTTAAGATGAAGATTCCACTCTAATGTGTAATGCACATCGAAGGCTTAACTTACCCACAAATGGCTATGTACCCAGCATGGATGCTTTGCACTTTAGATTTTCAATTTTACATGAATACTTTAGAAAATAATAGTGGTAAGAATGTAGCGTTCCTGCATTTACATTATTCATTCATTGATAAATGTCTATTGCATGCCTACTGTGTGCTAGTGTCTCAGTCAATAAAACAGCAAAGCTCAAAAGAAACAAAACAAAACATGGGTTCTGAAGCCACAAGGCCGTGATTAGCTATGGATCGCTTTCTTCTCAGTGCTATCTAACCATGATACGTTCTGTGTCTCTTGTAGCAATCTGCCCTGCTCCTCCCACGCCTCCTCCTCTTCTCAAGCACTCTCCTGAGTGTCTCCTCATTCAGTCCCTCATGCCCTCCATCCTTTTCTATTTCTTCTCTTCTCAGAATAGTCTGTGGTTCCCTAGTAATTGGGTGAGGTATCTAAGGTCCTTAATTATAGAATCAGAGACAAATGAAAGCTATTGGCCTTTACACTCAATCTCACTATCTTGAAGAAACCAATGCTTTCAGCCACTGGGATAGCCCCTGCCTTTGAATCCCCATGTGTGGTCAATCACACCATGAGCACGCCACCTTCCACGCCACCTTCCCTATCTTTTCTTTCTTTTTAAAGCCCTCGGTGGTTACTTTAGTTGCACTTTCTCTGTGGTTACCAAACAGAGCAGCATACATCTTCTCCATCCTCAGTACCTACTCATAGTTATTCATCTGTATTATTTTTACACAGTATATACACGTAAGCTCAGAGGCCTATTGGAGCATGTGAACAAGAAGGGCAGTGGCTAAAGACTTTGCAAAGCTGGAAAGCTTCCCGAAGTGCTCCATGTCAGGCAGTGTGCTAAAGGTCAAACAAACTTAGAACACCAACTTCTAGAAGTTGAGTACAAAATCGATAGTGAGCGCTTAATTTGCTCTAATTAACCTTGACTAGACAAAGCCTCACTGATATGTAAGCTAGTGATAAAACCTCAGCAAAAAAGCTGCTCCTGCAGGGGCAAAAGGAAGCATTTTCATGCCTCTTATGGCTACAGAACCCTGTGTTACAACCCTTGGAGACATACTGCCTTGGCTTCTGCTAACGTAACTGGCATTCGGTTACAGGTCAATCACTGAGGCAGTGGATTATGGGATTCTGTCTGTCTCCATTTCTACTGACGTCCCTCAAATATAAGAGAAAATGATGGCATGCAAGTGAAGATGCTGCCAGGTTTAGGAAACCTCTAATTGCAGTAGGGTGACGAGAGGCGATCCTCAGGGCTGCAATAAACCACGGTGATGTCTAAACCATCTTAAAGTAACTGGGCAGACTGAAAGTGATGATGATGAGTGACTATTGAAAAATTTAGACAAATGGCAACCAGGAACTTAGCTATATCCAGAGCTCATACAACAGTGGTGAGCAGAATGAAGCATATTTTTAAGCAAGCAATCAGGAAGATTCCCTCCTCTCCATGGGCCAGAGAGTAAATATTTTATGTTGGGAAGATGTTCAGTCTCTGTCTCTCTCAACCACCCTGCTCTGCCCCAGTAGGTTGAAGGGATGCTGATGTGACAGAAAAACTGTGGCTACATTCTGGTAAGACTCCCCTTCCAATGGCTGCATTCTGGTAAGACTCCCCTTCCAAACAGGTCGGTGCTGTTGGACTGGGCTGGCGAACACCACCCAGATGACTGCATTACTCATCTGGGAAGGCATCACTTATTTGTCACACTCTTTCTGAAGAACCAGGAAGAAAAAGAAGAGTAAGCTAAATGAGAAATTGTTGGTTCACACTTAACTACTAAGTCAGTCATTGTATACAAGGGGGTGGACTCAGGAGTAACAGTGAAAGCCACTGTGGAATAGGGTGGTTGGCCCAAGGCCAAGTTAAGGAGGTGAGATTTATGTTGGGTGCAGTGTTAGCCAAGAGTATAAACATGAGGTCAAATTTGTACCTGGGAGTATCACAAAGCCCCTTTTAGTTCTCTCACTGAAAAGCTAGTGAGAGCTAAGAGCCATACACTGAGGGTGCCAGAGGTAAGCCACACCAGAATTCTCAAGTCCAACATAGAGCAGTGGCTCTGTCTCAGACAGCAAGGAATGCCAGACGTCACAGAGCCTTATTCTCTGAAGTTTTGTTTTATTGAAGGAGGATCCCATTCGGTTAACCTTTGTTGTACCTGCCCTGGCAGTATCATCAAAAGAGAGCCTGGGATTTCCCTAACGTCTGAATGACACTTGGGTCTGCTGATTGGGAATTGGGTGGAAGAACCCTGAGGAATGTGAGAAAGGGTTACTGAAAACAGGCAGGTCATCAGCAAGCTAATGGCACACTCTGTGTACACAGCCAGTTAATTTGACTCTAATTTTACGCTCACTGAGTAACTTTGTGATTTATGAATCCACCACCTAGGAGAAAATGGAATGAATGAAGGCTAGTAGTTATTATGTCAGCTGATCCCCCCAAAATAAGCTAGGAAATTACTGTTTTGGTACAGAAGGTTTTCAAAGACTTTAGCAGCACGAGCCAGCACTCTGTGCTTGATTAGATGTGTGTATATTACTGAAATCTGGGGTTCTAGAAAACTGATGATCAGAAACCTAGCTCCTCAGAGCATTGTTTAACAGCCAGTGGATGGGTTGTCTCTGATATTCTTCAAGATGTGGAGAACCTGAGAGCAGAATGCCAAGAAAGCAAGGTACTTTCCGACATGCTGATTGCGTCATGGCAAGGGGGTCCTAGAGCTGGCAGGTGTGTCATTAAACAAGCTGAGTGTGGGGAACAGAGCGAATGAGCACAAATAGCAGAAACACACAGGGAGAAGATGAAGAAGAGGCGGGTCATGAAAGACATGGACTCTAGTATGCAGTTTCTGAGGAAAAGGATGCAATTCTGATTGTCACGGGTTACATGTCTGGTTACAGATTAGGTACTCAGCAACTGTGCAATGGACACAGGAATAAATGTGAATGAACACGAAGGCAGGGGAAACCCTACACTACAAACTTTCAATGAGGAAAAGAAAGAATGAAGTGCCAACACCATTTCTATCTGTTCAGTTAGTATGTGATGGTTAATCTTGTTATTACCTTGACTACATCTGGAACTGGTAGCAGGTTTGTGGGGTAGACCTGACCGTGTTGTTTTGGGGAAGATTGTGGAAGTACTCAGGAACTTTGGGCTAGAAAAGCCATTGAGTGTTGAGAGTTCAGTGGGCTGAGCTGGAGGAGTTTAGAAGACAATGCTGAGAGCAAGCTAGTATGTGACACTTCCCACAGCATCTGCATAAGTTCCTGCCTCTAGATTCACACCCTGTGTCTCTTGCCTTGACTTCTCTGGACAATACACTGTTAACTGAAAGTATAAGTTGAAATAAACCCTTTCCTCCCCACACGGATTTTGGTCATAGTCTTTTATTACAGCGCTCGAAACTGTGAATAAGACAGTATGGTATAGCAGTCATTGCACTTGTCCATTTAAGCTGGTACTACATAAAAGTTCAATGACCTGCTCTGTTCAGTTACCCAGAAGTATGGTCAGCTCAGGAGAATGGAAGAGGGGAAACTCAAGATCTTGGGCTCTGGAGAAGAAATGACCTGTGCCCTGTTCTTTGGTCATGATTAATTCCAAAGGTGACACACACAGACGAGGCAGCTCTATGGAAATGCAGAGCTTCTCATTCTACTGCCCATTACTGTTTAAGGGCCCGTGAGGTATGCTTCAGATCTGCATATTACTCTTCTGCCAACTTCAAAACAGCCATCAATCAGAAAGAAAATGCAGCGTGAATCCAGATAAGACTGAGCTGCTCCTAAAAGTTCCCTGGAGTTTTCACAGCTCAGAGAGCTGATCATCATGCCTTTAGATGACAAGTTGTGGGACAAAGATACAGCTCAACGGTAGGATGCTTGGCTAGCATGTGCAAAGCTCTGAGTTCCATCTCCAGCACTGCAAACACCCAAATAAAACAAGCCCAACAACAATACAGACTCACACAGTGGGACTCCAGCAGCTAGGAAAAGCTTCTGCCCTGGCCTTTTCCCAATAACTGCATGTTTAGGAGATAGTGGAGAGCTAACTGCAAGCCTATCCCTATAAAGGTACTATCATGACCATGCTTTAATTAATGGAAGTTCTGAAGCCTTTAATTCTTTTCAAAGTAGGCCAAGTTCACGGTCAAGCTGTTCACCAACCTGAGCACCATGTTTGATTATTTGGTGGGCCTGACAGAATTCCCTCGCCTCCACTAGTGTCCTGTGCTAGATACTCAGTGTTTGCCTCTGGGATGGTTTCTGAAGAGTTGTGTATAGGACCTGTCTTTGATAGATAACTGTGGTAGCTGATGGACTCCGTCAAGGAAACCCAGGAGAACACCAACATTGATCACAAGTCACAAAGCACCATGGGGCCAGCTGGGTTTCTGTGTTCACAAGGAGTTGTAGAAAGCCTGTATCTGTTGATCTGGCAGACACAATGCGTGTGGAGTGGTACGAAGTGGTACCCACAGTGCATGAGTCTGGCGCATTCCATGCTTGGTTGCTATCCGGCAGATTCTTCCCATCTAGTCTGAGGATCTGGCAATTTTGGCAACTAATTCAAAATGTCATCTCTCTGATAATTACTGAAACTGCTCTCCTTTTCATAACTTATAAATCAATGCAAATCTTCTCTTCAGGGAACCAAGAGTCTATTTCCTCAGTCTGCTTTAAGCTTTTTAAAAAGAATCAGTTCTTTAGAGTTGTTTGAATATTAAAAGACCACCCATTAACTTTGTATGTTCAGTGCTTTTTGACAGCTAAAATCCAGAATATTTATGACACAGGCATAGAATACCAATAAAAATGAACAGAACAGACTGTTTCTACCCCTTTCTCTGCTACAATGTGTAGGACCAAGATCCCTTGCACTCTTCCTAATTCGGGGAGCAAACTTTACCATTCCCATTTGCAATACCAAAATGTTGTCTACACCTCTACCAGCTTTGCTCTCTATGCATATAATTAGATAGCTCTTGTAATCTGCTTTGCCCAGTCAACGTCTTGTCCTAGAGATTCACAGTTATATTTGTGTAGTTTACTAGTTTCCTGCTGTATGGGCTCATTACACAAATATACTGCAATTCATTTATCCATTTTACTGGTTTTGTTATCACACACAAGGGCTGCCATGATTACATCTTTTTTGTGTGTGTGTGTGTGTGTGTGTGTGTGTGTGTGTGTGTGTTTATGTGACTGTGTGCCAGAAAAACCAATACCAGGCATCTTACTTGAGTTTCTTCCCACCTTCCTTTTTGAAACAGCATGGATTGTTAACCCTGGAGTTCACTGACTTGGCTAGACAGGCTGCCAGTGAGCTCCAAAGATCTGCCTGTATTAATTCAAACTCCTTAACCCCCAGCGCTGTGATTACAGATATATGACATCATGCCCAGATTTTTCCTGGATGCTGGGGACCCAAACTTGAGTCTACCCATTTGGGTGACAAGCATTTTATCAATTGATCCATCTCCCCAGTCTCTGCTACGAATGCTTTTATATATAATTCTTAATAGACAGATACAGGGTTTCACTTGGACAGTTACATATGTCTAGACTATTGTTATTTAAATGTTTATTCAGATAGGTGCCCATAAAATATTATTTGCAAAACAAAGTTTCAGAGTCATGTGATAGTTAAATATATATTTTTGTAAAAAATGCAAGTATATAAACCAAAACATATATACATCAAAATAATTTGGTATATATATATATATATATATATATATTGTATTACTTACACAAAATAACATAATAAAACTACATTGTTACTTTAAGGGAATGCATTGTATATAAAGAAGGGAACCTGCTTTATATTTCTCTGCATTCTTTATTTAAACATAGATTTATTGCTTCTATATACCAAAATAAATGATTAAAAAGACAAGTATAGGGGCTGCAAAGGTGGCTCCATGGTTAAGAGCACTGGCTGCTCTTGTAGAGGACCTGGGTCCAATTCCTAGCACCCACATGGTGGATCACAACCATCCAACAGTCCAGTTCCAGGTATTTGAGCCCATCTTCTGACCTTTGAGGGCAATGCATGTACATGATACACAGACATACCTATAGGTAAAACACCCACTCACATAAAATTAAAAGGAAAAATTTAAAGGCAAGTCTATTAACTCTATACCTACGCTGCATTTATCTTTACCATTGCTATCCTGTCACATACACTGCAAAACTAATCACTGCAGTGATAACCATCATGATCATTACTGTGAAAACTTATTTAAATAAAAATCAATTGGTAATGGCTGACATCATTCAGTCTTCATATTTGCCCTCATGCGGCTATTAAGAGTTCATGGAAACTCCAGGATCTAGTGTATAGAACCTTTAGACAGTTTCCAGAACATTCCTTTAATAGTCAACACGGAGAAAGCTAATGGGATAAAAATGCCAGGCAAAACTAAAACAAAACAAACAAACAAACAAACAAAAACATGGAAGTGGAAGTTCTCTCATCCACTAACATAGAAGGAAAGCAACAGACTGTAAGGATCTATGCCTATGAGAAAAATCTAGTTTCATCCTGTACAAACTGAGGTACTAATGATGTCAGATAAAACAGAAGCAGAAAAGCAAAACAAAATCCAAATACCTTTTTCATGTAATGGTTTCTTGGTTGTTTGACGGTGGCAAGAAGAGTCTTCTGTCTCGTGATCAGATTTTGAAGGTGAGGAGGGTGAAGTGTCTCCCGAGGCAGAGGAGAGAGTGTCTTTTTCTGGCAGCCATGATCCTTCTTGAGACTCGGTCAGGTCAGGAGATGTGAAGACCTCACCGCTAGCCCCAGGGGTGAGGGGCGCGACACCAAAATCTGATTCTGGAGAAGAAACTCTCCAACCCTTGGGCAGAAGCGATTTGGTAACGTGTGTGTGTGTGGTTAGAGAGAGACTGTCTGAAGGCTGTTGATACAAGAGGTTACAGGGCAAGTTATGCCACCGAGTGTCAGTGCTGTGCAGCATTTACTTGGAAAGGGAGAGAAACCTTTGAATGTTGGCTTATTTCTGAGAATGCACAGTTCATAACTACTCACCAATAAATAATGCAGCTAACAAAGTCACCTAAACATGTAGAAACAGTTACTTGAATGTCCATTTTCCCACTAGATTATACCAACAGCTGAATCTCAAAGGTACCATCATGAAACATGGTAATATGGAAAATACTTTTGGTTACCCTACTGAACGGATAGAGAAAAGAATTAAATGACAACCATATAGCAAATTGAATACAAATTCAGGAAACAAAACACGTAAACTATTCCAATTCTTTCCAAGGAGGATGCAGACTCTATTAATAAAACAGCCATCACGTCCAATGTACATCTGCTGACTGGGGAAAGTGCTCACCTTCCGTTCCAGGCTGTCTTCACCATCAGTTGAGCTGACACTGTCATAGAGCCTTGTCCTCGTGGGCCTCTGGCGTCTATTCTTCACAGAGAGCTGGGCCCGTGTTTTCAGTGCTTTCGAATCCAGGCGCTCTGTCTCTGGGACTGCTTCATTCAAGTCTAGGAAGAGTATTGCAAACTAATCTGTGAGAGAAACCCTTGGAGAGGGTTTATGATTGGCAGAGACCACAGACACTGACACCCAATCATTGGTTATCAGTGACCAGGGGGACAGATGACAATTTTTCCAGCTTGTCTAAATTTCCACAGGTGACACCAAAAATCTCTCACTCAGACAGCATAAAGCCTTTCTGCAACACAACGAGAAAAGCAAAGGTTTGCATTTGCTTACAGACACACATGTTGGGGCATGATAAGTTACAAGAGATCTTAGAAACTCTATGAATGAAGTCTTAGTTGCCAAAGTCAAATGTGGGTAACAGAAGGTGACCTTCACCCCAAAATTTCACTAATAGGTGACACAACTTTGGTCTTGAGTGTCTGAATATCTAATATGTTCCCCTTTGAACTCTGCTAAAACAAACAAAAACTGAAAAAAAATCTAGAACAGAATATATTTAATGGCAGCAAATTTATGATAAATCTGTTTCCTTAGAAGGCCTGGCTACACAGACAGACAGTTGAACTACCCCAAGTGTGTAACTCCTGGCACTGTGAAGAGAGGAGAAAGATTTCATCTTCTAGCATTAGTTTCCAGGTTACATTCCAAGGTGTTGATGCCTCTGTCTCATTTCTTTTTCTGAATACTTTCTCTACTCACCACAAACTATATTATTTTCCCACAGAGAAATGTTTAAATCTTAAGAAACCTCAAGAGAAGAAGCTAGAGAGAGATGTCTAAGTGGTTACAAGAATTCGTTGCTTTCATAGAGTTCCCAGCGCCCACATGGTACCTCACAATCATCTCTAACTCCAGAGTCTAGGAGATCTGATACCCTCTTTTTACCTCCCCAGACATCAGGCACACATGCGGTGCACACACATCTATGCAAGCAAAACATACGCATAATTTTCTAAAATCTAAAAATAAAGTACAAAAGAATCAAGAGAAAAAGACAAGGAGAGAAAGAAGGAGGGAAGAAACAAAGAAAAGCAAACAGACAGACAAAACAGTAATAGTAGCAGTTGGGCATGGCAGAACTTGATTGTCATCTCAGCACTACAGAGGCTAAGGCACAAAAATCATCCAGAATTCAAAGTCAACATGGGTGAGTCTCTGTCAGAAAACCACAAACTGCAGAAAGGATGAATGAGAAAGAGGCAGAAGAGATAACAAAGGCTACCAAGAACTTTCCTGGGGTTTTCTTTAATTGATTCTTAACACTTTTAATCTTGTTACGTGTAAAAGGGGGCAGAGGAAGGTTACCCATGAACACACCTATTACGGTAGGAGTATATGAGTACTGATTAGAGAAAAAGTATTTGTGTGAAGTGGAGCTACTCTTTACATACACAAACATGATCACTTACTGGAAATCAAATAGTGTGATGATTAATCCCATCTCATCTTTTCAGGATGATAGTCATTAAATGAAGTCACTTTGAAGAAATTAACTGAGTGACCCTGAATTTAAATTATTAAAATAAGCACATAACTCACATAACTCAAATAACTAATATATACTTGTGCTAATAGAAAAGGATTTCTTATGATAATCATTAGCCTGGGCAATTCCTTTTTATAGCATTATCTTAAAAATGGGCTCTAAACACATAAAACACAAACATTGAAGAGCCTCGGGTGCTCTCTCTCTTACTTATAAAACTGAACGATTGGCATATAGTTCTAACACATAAAATTCAATATACATTTGCCCAGGAGACACATCACTGAATGACAATGTTTACAGAAGGTCCGACTTTTCATTTCCTGTACTTGAGTGAAGAATGAACACTGGGAGAAGCCAGGCCACTCAGGCGAATATAAAGAATAACTAGATGTTTTCTAATTAGTAGTCTCTTTACTTTTTACATGCCAATGGAGGGAAAAAAAACTCGCCTTCATCGCTTTAATTTCCTCCCTCCAATAAAATCTATATTTGCAGCTGCCCATTAAGAGTTCATTAGTTGTGATAATTGGGAGAAAGTCAACCTTACAATCTCTGTTTACCTATAAAAATGCAGAACACCACACAGATGAAAGCAATAATATAATTAAAAATACCACAGTTCACGCACATCTTCCATCTTTTCTGTCTTGGAGTTGGATTGCATGCTCTGTAATGCAAAGCACTGTCACACGCTCCGCCTTGCTTGTTCCTTATTATAGACCCAGGAGACAACAAGCAAGCAGGTTGTTTCCTCTCCTGAAGCCCAGAAAATTGGAGTAGTTTGCCCTCCTCTACACAGCCAGCTGATGAACTGCTGTGACTATTCCAGGGCTCTGTCACCCAGGTGACTAGCTATCCACTCCCATTTAGCTAGTGTTGAAAGCTCAAGATTAATACCATGGAGATGAATTTTAAAAGTTACAAAATCATGTATGATGGGACCAGTCTAGGAAATTCAGCTCTCCAGCATCTACTCTGTGTTTATTAGAGAATGTGGAAAAGGTAAGAGAAAAGTGTTGAAAACTACAAACAGATTACTTCACAGATGGTCTCATGTCTGGCTACTTTGCTAACAACTTTGGTTAGTAGATGACAAAGGATGATGCGCAGCCCACTTGTGTCAGTACAGTTCCTTTGGCAATAGAATCCCTTGTTTTAAACACAGCGCAGCAGCATCCTGTCTGCACAACTGCACAAGTGACTCCATTGCTTTTACTGAGCAAATGAAATGAGGGGAATTGAGAAGGACTCATTTGCAGGTATAAGACTAAAGAAAGTAGGGACTACTGTTCCTGCTACTAGGAAGTAACCAGCAATTCAGCTGTTAGACAATCTTAAATGGCGATATGAACATCAGCTTCAGCATCCCCTCACTAGGTGTAAACTGATTGTGCATACAAATGCAATTATGTCCAGGAAAGATTCACTTAGTGCAAGTCTAAAAGGCAGGACTTTAAATCTGTTAACTGAGAGGCCAACACCATATTGCCCACAACATTTGCAAGTCTAAAGCAAGTATCAGAGACATCTGATTGCAGAGATTATGGATTACAAACCAGTAATTTTCCATCCTGAAAAGAGAAATGCTTTTTAAAAGAACCACAAGAGTGGCATGGTGCTGAGAACTGTCACACTGATAGCACAAGGAACACTGTCTATGAGAAGATGCACAATGACAGCCAAGAAGAATGCGTGGAAACAGGAGACACTGACTATGGGCAGCGGATATCTGTGTCACTCATCCATTATATGGTATTATTTCTTCTACTACACAATTTAGGAATCACAATACTACAACTCCAAAGAATATTGGGATTCTGGTCAACCTTACGCCTCATGATAGCAGACTGAGGCTCAAAGGTGGCTGCATATTTGTGCACTAACTTGTACATACAGTCACTCTGTGGAATAGTCCAGATAGAACTCACATGCACAGGCCTATGCTCTGCCTACAAGGCCACTCTTGTGTCTGGAAGTGAATTTCATGGGCAATCTTGTGCCTGCCACAAGCCCTCTTTTTCTGTTTTTCTTTATGTTCTATAAAGAAATACATGCCCAGTGTAACTCTGCATGGCACACCATGGAGACTAAATCCCTAAAGGATTTTATTTGGCTTTGTATATATCCCAGGAATAAAACTCTTAGCCTAAAATATTAGCTGTCATTTTAGGTGATGGCAGTGTGGCAGGGGAAATCCACCCGGCTTAGTCTCTAAGTTACGTGCTGTGAGATGGAAGGGCTTAGGTGGCCATGTTTGCCATTCCTTCCTAACAAAGATCCTCATTTCTATGGCAACATGGTTCCTCAGCCCCGGGCCTCAGGCATCCTTTCCCTCTTCTTTCTGGTGTATCTTGTTGTGCTGTTCACAGAGAGGAAAATTGACTTTTTCTCTCCTGCTTTCTGATTTATTCTTTCCGTCAGATCCTCCAGTCTGTGAAGCAGTCTACCATTCAAATGCAGGGAGAAATACAAATGCAGAACAGTCTTAAACAGATCAAACAATGCAGATGGATATATTCAGAGACCCTCCAGACAGGACCTAATGATGGAACTTTGAGTGGGTGGGGCATGACTGTACCTGCATCTCAAGACTAGTTTCAATATGGATTTAAATTGGATCCTTTAAAACAACTTAATGGATTTAATTATGATTTTAGTAGGTGGTATGAAAATGCTCTATGAAATTAGGATATTATATATCATACAACACTGAGACCAGTTCCCTGCAACACTGCTATGAGTCATTCGGTTCTTTTTCCACTGGATTGACGTTGTTTTTGACGCAAATGGAATGCTGCTGGACGATCAGACCCAGGCAGCAGGAAGCTCAGGAATGGAGCTGAATAAGAATCGAGTCCACTGTTTACTCTGCTATGCACTGGGCACCTCAAAAACAGTTCTCCCTGGTTTCTGCTATTGTCAACTGAAATGCTGGGTATTTGGGGGCATTGGTGGTTTTGAAACTTAAACAGTATCTGCATATTATTCACAGTGACTGCAAGTTCATAAAGGGTGGGCCCCTTGGGATAGGGGGCTAGTGCTTATTGTATTCAGGTAGTAGATTTAAACATCCCAGAGAGCCAGGGGGAGATAGTTGCTGTGAGAGCAGACCTACAGCGCGAATCCAGAATGAGCTGCCATGCCATAAAATTGGGCAATTTACCTAACCTCTTGGAGGTCCCCGAGGATCCTCAACTGCAAAATGGGAATGATAATGACATAATATAATGACTGCATTGTTCTGAAGATTAAACGCACTAATAGACCGCCACATGGTTAGAAGAGTGAATGCTATGGAATACCTACCCCATAACTGTCTTTACCGACTGACACTGGACACATTAGCAAGAGTAAAGCAAGTTATGGAATATCATGAGCACTCACTTAAAATATTTAGAAACTAGTAACAGATACATTTCCTAATGGCAAAATATGCATTCAATCGTACAGGAAAACGGAGAATGCAGACTTTTACTAGACTATTGGATTAGGAGATGTGGGTCAGGTAGCATCTTAATTCTTAAAAATATTAAAGATTTTTGTATTAGG